ATTTTTGCTGCTCAATACATACTTGGTGCCCCTTGATTTATTGTTGTAAAACTTCTATCATTACTTTTGTAGGAGAAGGAGACATTTCCTCCTTTCCTCCCAGGGTTCTTCTAGCTAGTTGAGGAATTGAATTGACATGGGACAGATTAACAGGAAAAAAAACCCAAAGTTTTATTATGTGTGCATTGAGGTCCAGTAATGAAACTGAGACCCAAACAAATGACCAAGGCAGGCAGTTTTTATCCATTTTAGACAAAGAGAAAATAAATTAGTGAGGAATTGACAGGATAAAGAAAACAGAGGCTTCGAGATTTAACTGGTAAGGAATTCTAAGTAGAATTTGGGCTGAGTTAGTAGATGAGTAAAAAAGTAACAAGGGGGGCACCTGGGTGGCTCAGTCAGTTAAGCGTCTGCCTTCGGCTCAGGTCATGATCCCAGGGTCCTGGGATCGAGCCCCACATCAGTCTCCCTGCTCAGCGGGAAGCCTGCTTCTCCCTCTCCTCCACTCTCGTGCTCTCTCTCACTATCTCTGTCTCTCTCTCTCTCTCTCAAATAAATAAAATATTTTTTTTAAAAAGCAACAGGGTTTGTTTGTATAGTTTTCTTGCTTTAAAATTCCTATCTCTGGTGATAAGGATGCCTTTTTATTCCTTAGTACAGCAAGGGTACTTTTCATACAAAGATTTATTTCTTGCTTTCCAGTGGACACAGGAGGGTCTGAGTGTCCTTCCACCAGCTGGGTCCCGATTAGCTTTAATACAAAATCATTAATATGCCATTTTGGTACCTTTTGGGCATCTATACTTTTCCATGTTCTGTGTTCTCATGACGGTATGTCTGGGTGTGGGTTTGTTTATATTTTCCTGTTTGGAGCTCTGTGTACTTCTCTCATTAGATGATGCTTCCATTCTGAAAAATAGCAAATCAGCATCTCTTTGAACAGTGCTTCTCTCCCTTTGGAACTCTTTTATGTGGCACCTGATCAGCACTTAGCAGGGACTCTCAGAGCCTGGCTGCTGGCGAACTCTCCAGCCTCACCTCTCAGGTGCCCTTCAGCCTAGAGTCTTCTTTATATGGCTCACACTCAGGCCCTCTCTTCTGTCATAGGACCTTTATCAGGCCCTTTCCTGAGTGGCCTTCTGGAATCCTTCCTTTCCTACCATTTAACAGCTGCTCATCCTTCAGGGGAGTTTCACCAACTTTTCTGATGGAGCATTTTTATTCCCCTCTTACAGAATCTCAGTCTGTCATTCGGAGCTCCTGGAAAAGTACTACTTTTACACTTACTTGTTTGAGTATCTAATTCATGCCAGGTCCTTCCACTAGATGCCCTGCTCCATGAGGGCAGTGCAGTTGACCTTTAAAGTCCCCATGTTTGAACCCTGGAGGTCTACTTACATGCAGATTTTTTTTCAATCAATGCAAGACTGCAAGGTACTTTCTCTTCCTTATATTTCCTTGATCACATTTTCTTTAGTTTACTTTGTGGTAAGAGTACAATAGATAATGCTCATAGCATACACAATAGATGTTAATCAACTCTTTCTGTTATCAATGAGGCTTCCAAGTCAACAGTCGGTTAAGTTTTCGGGGTTCAACAAATGCATATCTCTGACTGCACAGTAGAAGCAGTACCCCTAAGCCTTGTGTTGTGCAAGGGTCAACTGTATTTTTCTGTTTTAGTTTTTCATTCTGTTGGCGTTAACAGGCAGGAAACAACAACATGGAGACTAAAACCAGCCAGCAGCTACAGAACTATATGAGAGGCTCAGACAATACTGATTCATCTCTGACTAGCAGCCTCCCTCCCTTCTCAGAGCGAACCAGCTTTCTCTCCTTCCCTGCAGATACTTAATGCGATAGAAGGCTCAGGGTAAAGAGTCTCTCCAGGTTAAATCGTGCACCGTACCTGTGAGCCCGGACTGTCCCCCTATCTCTCACATTCTTTCCATGTCCTCCCGCTTTAATTTCTGAGATGTCTGGGCTAGAGCTGCCGAATGTGCCACCAGCTCTGGATCATTTCTGGATAAATCCCTTTCCCCCTATTTTATTCTAGAATAACTGAGCAGTTGTGACTTTGAAAAGTAACAACTCCAAAACTCAAAGGAGAAAGAACATGCTTTTTGTTCACTCTTAAAACTAAAGAAATAACCTTCAGTGTATTTATTTAACACGTATTTAACGAGCCCCTTTTGAGTGTCATTCACTACCTTAGGACTAGGTCACAGTAGTAAGAACAAACCTGGTCTCTGATCTCACTGAAATTAGAGTCTAGAGAGGAAAGACTATTCCGGTACTCCCACTGCTAACTAAACAATCAAAAAGTATGTGAATGCTTTGAGTGAAAGAAATAAAGTTCCCTGTGAATATTTAACAAATTCACATGACCCACATGGGAAATTGCAGTAGGATAGGGAAGGCTGACATCATGAGGGACTCCTGAGCTAAGATGTTAAGTCAACAAAGAGGGGAAGTCAGAGCATTTCAAAAAGAAAAATCCATATTTGCAAATGTCCTATGGCATGAAGCAGACTGACAATTATGAGGGTCTATAAGAAGACCCAGGAGATTTGAGAACAGAAAAGAAAAGGGAAATTTATTAGAGTTGAGGATGGAGAGTCATTTGAGGAGAGACAGTGATGTGCTGACTGGTACTGGCTAAAAAGGGCCAATTGTTCTATTTTCAGAAATTTTGTGTGTGCCAGCTGCTAAATAACCATTATTAAAACCAAAATATAGAATCACTGAACTCTACTTCTGAAACTAATAAGATACTATATGTTAATTGAATTTAAATAAAATAAAATTTAAAAATGTATCTATATATAAACTCATATTAAATAAATTACATTAAATACAAAGGCTTTCTAATTGTTCTTAGTCATTCTTAATTATTTCACTACATTTTACTATTATTTGTGCCCCTGAGTTTATTTTTGCCCATTCTATTGGCCTGTAGAAGCATTTTCTACTCCTGTGTCAGTGAACATTTCCTCCCAACCTCACATGCAGTGATGTCACATTGACTAACTTGAAATTGATCACAGTGGGAATTTACACCACAAAAATTGGCAACCTTTTTCGAATCAAAACTCCCGTACACCTCTAAAAACCAGTTTTAAACTTATACAAGCACAGCACTGAGGGAAACTATACAAGACCTTGGAGATAGTATTAAGAATTTATCTTTATCACAGGAGAAATGAACAAGGCATTGAAAGGTTTTGAGCACGGAGTCGAGGCCAAGAGCACATTTCTGTTTTAAAAAAAATCACTGACATGACAGAATTGAAAGAGGGAGCAAGGTGATTTTGGGGGGTCCCATATGGTAAATAGTGGTGACTCAGAGGAGGACCAAAGAAATGAAAATGCAGAGAAGTGGGTTTGATATATATATTTAGGAGCTAAAATAGAAGTCTGAGCTCTGGTGACAGTAGCAAGAAGCAATCACTTAAGACCCTCATGAGGAAGAAGTAGAATCTCTACATCCTCCCTACGTTCTGGATGCTTATGTTTTCATTTTGAGCCCAATTCTGCCACCATGTGTCAAAGAGCCAGCCTCACAGTCAACACACTTAGGCCTGAAGAAGGAGAGACAAATCTGCCTATGGAAACGTGAAATGAAAAGACTGTATGTAAATAAACTATTTTAAAAGTGATCCATAACCTTTCCATCTTCATATGTGGGTAATCGTGCATTTATGGCAACCATGAGAATGGTCTCCAAGGTCTCTTGGACCTTGAGGGAGGGTGAATGACCGTGTTCTGATATCCAGCTAATGCTGTGCTTCCTTCCTGCGAGCTGCCTCCAGATGATGCCTGAACAGGACAGAGACTCTTTGTCCCAGATTCTTTCCATCAGTTGCTCTAGCACCCTGACTCCTCAGTGCCATCTTCCTCCTTCACATCCATTCTCCTTCACTTGGGTCGGACCTACATTACATGGTTCTGCCAGACACGTTGGATTCCCTGCCTCTGCTTTGTGTCTGAGGCAGGTCTTGAGATGCTGTGAACTTGGATCCCTCCCCCAAGTGATGGCAGACATCTGCAGTGCAAGTTCTTGGGGCCAAGAGAATTTTCTGCCCCTTTCCCCAAAGTCAGACAGCCGCTGCTTCTCCCCTTTCTCAGAAACAGGGACGGTTGCCATTCCCTTAATACTTAAGTGTTGGGTTTTATGAGGGATGAGGATCTGGGAAGTCACTGGGGTTTTATGCCTGTGTGCCCAGGGGCGGGGGGGACTCATTCATTCCATTCTCTGCCCTGCCCTCAGCCCCCCGCACGACAGGCCCGTGGAACAGAGACATGAGTGAGGATTGATGGCGTTGTGTCTGGGCTCCTGGGGACTCTAAATTGTCATGATAGCACGTATTCCACCTTTAATTATTCATTAAGTTCTAGCTGTTTCCTTTCCTCCCTTTGGAGGAGGCTGTCTGTTCCCTATGGTTTGCCAAAGTTGCGCCAGTCTATGACGTGTCCTTTCTGTACTCAGAGGAGACTTTTCGCAGCTCAGTTCGGTGGGTGTCCTTGTGATTCTCGGTTCTCTGATCATCTCAAGAAAAGTTAGGGTTTTGCAGAGTATCTGGCTTTTCTCATTATTCGTGTTCTCCTGTAGCTTTCTCCAGGCCGACAAGGGAAAGTCGCCGCCGCCTCTTGTTTTAAAAAATCAGTTATGTTTCTGCATCAGGGTCTTATCTTTGGTGGGCTCAGCAGAGCCAGGAATAGAATGTATCCATAAATCTATATTGTGTTCTAGGTACGTGAAATCATTAGGTTATCAAACAGTCGACACGCCTCTGGAGGCTGTTCTGTCAATGCATTGAATGAAAACATTACCCAGCCATGGAATCGACCGCGTCGTAGGAGTTAAGGCTCCCCGAGCAGATTTCTAGCTCAACTGGGAGACGTTTCTCGTGTGTTTGGCTTTGGGTCATTGCTCAACACAGTTACCTTGTCCTTTCCACCAGGTGGTTGACCAGATTGATACCCTGACCTCCGACCTGCAGCTGGAGGATGAGATGACCGACAGCTCCAAAACGGACACCCTGAATAGTAGCTCCAGCGGCACAACAGCCTCCAGCATCGAGAAGATCAAAGTGCAGGCCCACGCACCCCTCATCAAGCCCCCAGCACACCCGTCTGCTATCCTCACCGTCCTGAGAAAGCCAAACCCTCCGCCACCTCCCCCGCGGTTGACCCCTGTGAAGAGTGAAGAGCCCCCGAGAGGGGTGCCAACGGTCAATCCTGTGAAGACGAATGGTACCCTCCTGCGAAATGGAGGCTTTCCCGGGGCACCCAACAAAATTCCAAATGGAGACGTCTGCTGCATACCCGCTAGTACCTTGGACAAGGCTCCCGGACGGCCTCTGAAGCACAGACCTGAAAAAGACAGGTGCCTCCAGGCAGGGCCTCGGGAACGAGTTCGGTTTAATGAAAAAGTACAGTACCATGGCTATTGTCCCGACTGTGACACCCGGTATAACATAAAAAACAGGGAGGTCCATTTACACGGCGAACCTGTCCACCCATCGGAAAAGCTTCCTCACCCAGGCCCCCCCCTCCCTCCTCCACCCCACCTCCCTCCTTTTCCACTGGAAAACGGGGGGCTGGGAATAAGCCACAGTCACAGTTTCCCCCCTCTCAGACCTGCAACTGTGCCTCCTCCCACTGCACCAAAACCACAGAAGACAATCTTGAGGAAATCAACCACTACAACAGTGTGATGTATGCCATTTCCAAAACCTTTTTGTTTTTGTTGTTTTTTTTTTAATTTCTGTGCTATAAACATAAAATAATAAGTAATGAGCACTTTCTACTCAAGCAATAAAAGCCCAAATATATTAATCCTGCATTCAGCAAAGTGGCATAAAAACCACCTGGTAAGTATGCAGTATGTTGTTTATATCCCGGGTATGCGGTGTTTAAACACTTGCATTGTCGGAAACCACAGAACCATGAAAAAGCTGCGCTTATTGTTTCTTTCAACCGACCTATGATAAATGGTGACCTCTAGATTTCAAATGGTTTGATTTACTCTCAGAGATGGGATTAGTTTCATTTATTCACGCCTAACTCATCTATGCATTAATAACATGTCATCCTCGTACCTTTGACCAGACGCTTTTTAGGAAGAAATTTTAATACCGAAGGACTATTTTGTTATTTTTTCTAAAGATGTTTGTCACTAGTTTTACATTAAGAAATGCCAAGAACAATACCAAAAAGTTTTATTTTCTATACTATACAATTATGATTATACGTTCCACTATATCTGTAATGAAAGATTTTTGTCTGTGGAAATATCATATGTCAATAAACAACGGTACCTAATGGCAAAAGCACATGTTCCTCAGAGCGAAAACGAAGCAGTGGTTCATTGAATCCCGTGTTGATATTCATCAAAATGGGTGACTACTCTGAAAGAGTTTGGAAAAGGTTATAGTGAGGCTAGGGCAGCATTTTCTAAATTAAATATCATTATCAGGTCATAAGTAGTACTTACACATTTTCATATTATGTCTTGTGGTACCCCCAAGACCGCATATTGAAGGTCTCATTGACCCAATACATGGCCAAGCCCTTTAGATCCTCCTCACACACAGCATCCCTCCCGGACACACCATAAACCAGGACATTGCAGCAGTGGGATGATTTGCCTCCTTCATCAGCAAGTTCTCTGCCTCCCCAAGGGAATCCCTATTTATAAGAGAATCATAGCGGAAAATAAAGATGTTTCTGGAATAGGATGTTTTTAGTATCAGCCTTAATGCTCTTTTCCCTCAGAGTTGAACTATACCAGGGGTCTTTGTTATTTTATAGAAGGAAGAGAAGAAATCCCTTCCTCCTGACATCTTCTCTTAAGGCTAACTTGCCAGCTTATGTCACTTACCCACCCATGGATCAAGTTCACTTCCCAACTACTGTGATTTGGACTGATTGGATATTTTGCTCTGGAACTAGAAATGAGTTCATCTGTCCTAGAATTATGATGACAGGTGCATACCTGAACAAAAGTTGTCCATTAGGTGGCAAGAGGAGAGGGAATTATCTTTGGAGAAAATTGGTTTATTGTGCAGCTTAATAAAAAAATACTATATTCTTTTGGGCTAATTGGCTTTTGATCTCAAAACTTTTCATTTTTGTTGCTGCAGGGAGGTAGTCCTATTTCTTTGTTGCCTTTTTCAAGCCATATGATGGTAATCTGGAATACTGTTTTTCAACAACTTCCTATTAAAAGATGATAACATACCTTAGGCAGAATGACAGAAAGAAAATAGGCATGACTTTTTGAAAGAACAATTAAATGAGTGAAAAAATAGAGGATGTCATGTTACAAATTTACTCAGCATGATTTTCGTTCCTGTGTGTGTTGGCCATGAAGGTAACGCAAGCACAGTAAATCCCTTTTTTTTCCCACAGAGTTACAGAACTAACACCAGTAATAAAGAAAAGCCATAATCTAAAATATATTAATCATGTGATAAGTATGTTTAATAAATCTGACCCAAGTAAACACAGAATTGACTTCCCAAATACCAAACTGATATATTCTTAACTTTTTCATGCCTTCATTTAGACTTGATATAAATAAACCCAAGCTTTCATCATTTTCTAGATTTTAATAATTACTTTCTTTCAAATGTGCAGCCAGTGTTAGACCATATGGTATTATAAACAGTCTTTGAAGACACGCAGCTTTCTCCCTTCAGCTCATCCTCCTTTTGCAGCCAGTTACCGTGACCTAATAATTAGCTTTTCATTTGAAATTTTGACCCCTGTCAATGTCTGGGAGCCATTCTGGATCTCAAGTTAAGAGCTTCCTGGCAACCACAGATCATTCACAGAGCAGATAACTGCAATGAAGTGGATTGAATAAGCTAATTCAAGCTGATGGAAGAAAGACATTGAGCCAGGTGCTTAGCCACAACCTGTGAGGCTCAAACTCATCTCTCTTTCTCGAAGTAGAGACAAAGGTACCCCATGAACAACCATCTTTTTAAGTGTGATTGTTGACATTGCCAAAATGGCAATACCATCTCTCATTCAACACATTTACAAGTAACTTTTGGCCTAGAAGACCAAGTTAAAGCCCAGCCTAAAAGAGTTAAGAGGTATTGAACTTTTCTTATTACAGTTTATTAAATCAGGATTAAATGTTAGATTATATCAGTGTTGGGACTTTCTTTTGAGTACATTTATTTCTTATGTTATTTCATTTTTTTCTTCCATTAAGGTTTGGAATATATTGGGCCAATAGGGTTTGTTTTGTTTTGTTTTGTTTTTCCCCAATGGATCACTTTGAAACATTCACCAGAACTTATGTCTTTAAATATACATAAACTTGTAAAACAGGGAAAGCAACTAACACATCATAATAAACTTAAAGTGTCGTAAGTGGCCTTGCCATTTCTGTCATCAGCCAACATGGCTTTCAAAATTTAAATTCTCTAGTGTAGCCTCTGCACATCATCCATTAAGTCATCATAAAACGTGGCAAATAGTTGCTCTTCGCGAAGATCCCAAAGCAGAACTGCTTTCTGCAAACCCTTCAGGGCAGTTCTTTTTCCCAGTGTGCATTTGAAGACTTGTATTCCCACACAGAATATGTACCCCTGAGTTAGCCTCCATCCTGTCTGGAAGGTGATGTTCCTACAAAATGTCCAAGGGTAATGCTGCTTATGGCAACATTCATTCAGAGTGAAAGGTAGAACATGGATTTTTTTTTAAAGTAGCATCTATTAATTAAATTGGAAAAGGAAAGGGTTTCACTTGCTAGTTTAAACAATAATGATCTCATTTGGGGGATGGGAGGTTATTGTATCCTCATCTGATGAAAGGCGAAAAGAAAATAAAAATTGCCCAAAGTTCTCTTCCATCCCCCAGTAGTTATGGCAGTTATAGAAGAAGATAAAACTACATTTTTTTAGGTCACGCTTAAACTAAATTTAAAATATCTGCTCAAAAATACAGAGCATGTAAGAAGAGAAATTTCCCACTCTTCCAATTTGTTATTATTATATTCATACCTTCCTTCATTAGCTTAACATTATTCTAGAAAAAATATTAGTTGTATTAACTGAAGTGGTTTAATTAACCTAAAAATTCTTGTGTTTGAATTATGCCTGCATCTAATTATTTAATGAATAAAGGAATAGGGCGCTGTATTATATGACTTTCTTTGGGCAGATCAGTAGTTGCTTTTAGCATTACCAAGAGCGGCAGCTACACACTGTCTCTGAAACTCTGCAAGACCTTTCATCTACAGATTCTAATTGTATAGTTCTTTTTGGATGCTCCATAAAGAAAAGCCTGAGTAGCTTCACGTGTTGCACTGGGAGTGATACAATCAAGTCTTTGAATCACTGTCTTGACTGAACTTTTTCCATGGAATATATGCAATAATGCAGTGTCGAGTCTTCTAATTGTCCCAATTCAGTTTCTTTCTCCTGATTCACTGTTGGTAGCACATTTTGCTCTAATGTACACTCAAATTTGTGGCAGAAGATTGCAGTGTAATGTACTTTGGTACGTACTGAGGACTTCTAAGTGAGGAAATGATTTATGAGCAATAAAGTTGCGTTAAAAACCCGCATCACATAATTAGATAAAATGCACAGAATCTGACAATTACTAGACACTATCACCAAATCACATGACGTCTTCCGAGTCAATCTGTATTTAAATGTTTAGGCTAAACATTTGGGAGTTTTAGAATTGTTCAAGTTGCCTGATTCTGAAATAATGGCAGATGTGATACCCATTAGGGCACACGGTGTTGAACATAAAACTGCAGTTAGCCACGTCATCCTGGAGCAGCAATTATGTAGGATGTCATTTTCTGTGAAACCCTTGGATCTATCATTCTGGTCTTTTGGGGAAAAACTAAAGTGGAACATAAGGAAGCTCTGCAAATAACCCTCTCTGTAAAATGTAGTTAAATCAACATGGGGTATAGACTTGTGTAAGGACCACGGGAAAACAGGAAATACTGCTTATCATTTTGACTTCTAGATTGATCAAAGAGAGGTAAGCTACTAGTCCTGTTCTCTGAAACTGCATACATTAGAGTTTCTCTAAGTTCTCCTACGAATGTATAAAACAGATGACATTACCCTGATCTACAAGTGAAGGGATCCAGGACCTCAGTTTAAGTATTTTGCCAAAATCAACCCCTTCGTAAGTGACTGAGCTGGCTTTTCATGCCAGTTTGACTCCCCATAATTTTCCCCCGTAACATCACTATTTAATTATGTTCTTCATAGCCCTGAACTTTGCAAATCTTTCTTTTATTCTGAGTAGTTATTTTGACGCTTGAAAGGGGTTACCTAATCTTATTTTGACATTCTTAATATGTTTGATCTTTGCAGAATATAAAAGGGATTTCAGGCAATTTAGGAACCATCTAAAATGAATGAGCTGCTGAATAATGCCAGCCTCATTTTTTTGTGGATTATATCAGCAGCTTCACCTTTCAGGTTTTTTTTCTGTAAGTTCAGAGGCTGTCTATTATTTTGGTTTCTTTGCCTAAGAGGTTCTGATTTCATAGTACTAATGCCATTTGACCCTGAATGTGTCACTTTCATTACTGGTATTTCATTTGTGAATTTCATCTATTTAATACTGACCCCTAAGCTAAAAATAGCAATTGATGCATTCTGTGGGAACCACTAGAGGACCAGTGCATTAGAGCTCTCTGTAATAAAAGACTTTCCATCCTTTTGTTACTAGACTATAGATACGCTTTTCCACTGTTTG